CTATCAGCTAGAATCGAAGATCCTCTTTTTGATACTAAGACTGAAGTTCAACTTCACTGAAGTTATGATGCAGGAATTGCATTGTAGACCATTGAAAATCTTTTGTTGGACATGCAGCTCTTGCAAAGCCATATGGTTCTTGCCTTAACAATTTCTTGCGTTCAGCGGTAGACAGTAAAAGGATGTCTCATGAGCTACCCTCCATGTTGAAGCTTCTGATATGATGCAATGGTGTCTGGCCATGAATGTGAAGTTGTTTGTCATCTTATGATTTCTCCATTCAACGACTGACAGTACCAAGTAAAAGACATGTCTCATGTCTTCTTTGATCTTATGACTTTTGTTTCTTATTTCGCTTATGCACCTTTGTTTCCTGTAAGTTTGCCACATTGGTAGACTTTTCTTTTAATTATGGATTCAACTGACTATATTATTTTATCTTCTTTTTTTTTTTTTTTCATGTTTCAAGTTGTGTGTATGCGTTTCCACTTGCAACCATCCCAAAATAAAACCTACAAAAAAAATTTCACGTGGACAAAGGTCACTCACTTGATTAGATTTGAAAGACAACCTCAGTGGCAGACATTATGTTATGACTATAATATCAAAAAATGACATTTTGGTACTGTAATGAGAATTGGAAATCCAAACCCTATTTTCTTTAATCATGGAAAGGCTTAGCTTGATTCATGGATTGTGTTGTGCCTACTGAACCATGCAGATTCAACCTATTGGATATCATTTTCTACAGACATAATAAACTTACTTTCTTGTAATCATAGGTCTCTTTATTCTGTTTTAAAGTTGGATGATAAATATTAGATTACAAATTTGCGTCCAACTTGTATTCCACTTACCATTGATATGGTTTAGCTTTGCCTCTTCATGATTTGGGGCCATGGCCTTGGATGAAACTTATAGGCTAATTCTTGGATACGTAGGTTCTCTCTCATTGAGGGATATGGCCCATTTGTAGGGCTCAAATGAACTGAGTTACTCAAGAAGAAGGTTGGAGCGTTTTGTATTATAACTCATCCAAGTTTGTTTATTTAATAAACAAAGCGAGTTTGAACCCATTTTTTTAACCTCATTTCATAAGCTAACCGAATCTGAATACTAGCTTCTTTATCTCATTAAGCCCATGAACATACATAGCATGTGACGGTTAAGGGGTCACAAACTACAAAGTGTCTAGTATATGTTATAAAGGGTGTTAGGTATGTGTGAATCCCCCTCAAATATAAAGTGTATTTATATATTATTGATAAGCTCTATCTATAGATTACAATTTTAAGTGAGTATGAAGTTTCAAATATATTTGTTGGCATTATATCATTAATCTCTTTATTTCACTAGTAGTGCTCTTAGAATTGAAGTCACAATAATAGTCTAGACTACTAGGGAAGTCTCTACCCAAAGATGAGACAGTGTCCCAAAGAAATGCCATGCACCACTAGGTTTGGGCTTGATAAAATAGTAGAACAGTTTTTTAGTAGGGAGAGGAAACGAGACGCGAGCTCTTTAATAGAGAGAAAGAATGGGATGACTCATAAAAGGTGGGTAAAAATATCTTGGTTCTTTAACCCACTTTGAATAGAAAAATAATTAACAGTGTCTCAATGTATTGTGGATGAGTTCACAATCTCTAGCATAAACTTTTTATATAATATTGTGTACGATGCTATTTATTTGCATCCCATATCCGTTTTCTCATAGTTGCATGAAAGAATCAAAATTTTGTGTTGAAATGGACGAAACGTTTGAATTATTTCTGTTTTGAAAGAGATCGAAACGAATCAGTGATGGAATAAAAAATTTTAATATGTCGAGGTGTTTCGTGTTCTTTTGAAGTATTTTATAATGTTTCAATGTATTTGTACAATTATTTCGAAATGTTTTAAAATATTTTGTATATTTCGATCAAAGTATAGAGGGCGGCCTTGACGCAACGGTAAGATTACTCTATTATGATTTAGAGATCACCAGTTCGAGTTATGGAAACAACCCCTCTGCTTGTTGGAATAAAATTGCATACATCTAATTTTATCCAAACCCTACAATTACAAGAGTCTCGTGTACTAGGTACGCTCTTGAAAAAATAAATTTTAAATTATTTATTTTATTTTTGACAATAGGTCAAAATATTTTCGTTTCTTAAATAACTAAAATAATAGGTTAAAACGAAATTTTAATCGACGGTCTTTTGTTGTTTCGTTGCGTCTAACAATTTTTGACAGGGGTTTCAATCTTTCCATTCCACCAATACTTTTGTCATATTCTTTTAGCAGAGAGGCTGTCCCACCACAACCTTTGTAACTCTTGTTCTTTGCTCTTTTTCTAGGTGTTATGCACCGTTCTTAGTCCAGATTCATTGGTCCTAACTTAGTCACCACCCTTGTCATTAAAGAAACATTTGTCCAACGTGTTGCCCCATGCCTATGGTCTTTGTTTGGTTTGTCCATTTTAAGACTCCTATTACTTCTTTTTTCTACGGTCTTTGAGGTATTTCAGATTCTTTCCTTAATATATGCAATCACTTGCCATGTGTTTTTATTTTTTAATGTAAGTTGACAACTTTGCTTAGTTTTGAAGTTTTTTTTTTTTTTTTTGTGTGTGTGTGTGTGTATTGTTTTAGACTAATTATAGCCACTTATTGTGAAAATGTTAGCAGCCATGCCGATAGATTGTTATAATCGTATGGGCACCCCTTATACTATTAAAAATGTCATTAACACCCAAGTCAATGGTTGTCTGTTTAATAGAGTAATCATATCTGGTGTTCTACAAAATTATCCATGAGGGTATTTCATACACATTCTCTTCTATTTTCTTTCTGGCATATTCAACTAATTCCTTATTTTAAGTAAGGGATCATAGTCAAGTTTCGGTCCTTATGAAATAACACATTTTGTTGCACCTGAATCTACCTTTCTTCCTTCTGAAATCTATGATATTTATTATTTTAATACGCCATCTTACTAAAGAAATATGACTGACGAGCGGCTCTAAAGCAGGAGCTATCTCCGTTGTTATTATGCTTTCATGGGTAGAGTACACAGGAATTGTTCCAACCTGTTTCAATCAGTTGATATCAAATGATCGAAAGAGGTTTGACTAATTAATTGGTAGAGAACAGGGTTCACTGTGCAATCAGAATCATGTTTTCTCAAGAAATTAGTGTCGTTTATAGTCAAATCATGTTTTTTTCAAGAGCAATGCTATTGGAATTTAATTTACTGATATAATATGTTGACTTAATTCACTATAACATTTGACCTAAAAAAAAATATTCACTATGACATTTGGATTGATTGTGAGTTCTATCAAACATTGAAATTTTATGTTGATCAAATAGTTTCAATGAAACCATATCATTATATGTCAGCAAATTAAATCAACTTTTTATATTCAAATAATATTAATCTTTCTTCAAAGATAAAGTGCCGCTGACACAAGAATCTCTTAGAGTTGTTTTTGAAGCAAGAACCTTATTTTCTTTTTTAGTTTTTCTTCATGAACTAATGTAGTTGCTGCTAGTACCTTACCCTACCTTGATCACACTCAACACCTATCATTCTCTCCCAATGTGTCCCCATTACACCACTACCATTACCCCCCCCCCCCCAACAAACACTCTTGATGTTCTTCCTTCTCTCCCTACCCCTAATCAAGCCTAACCCCAATTTTTCTACGCCCCCACCCTGATCTGACTTATCCTTCTTCCCTACCATTTCCAATTGCACGCACACATTATGTAAATCGCCCTTTCTCTCTATCTTTTATCGTACTACTTCTATCAATTTATCGATTTATACGAGATACATAATATTGTATCTCTTTCCCTCGGTATCTCCCCAAAATTATGCACGCACCCCATGATACCTCTCCCATACTCCAATTTCTCTCTAGAATTTCATTCACCAACACTCACCCTCAAAAGAGGTGCCAATGTTATTGGAGATAATGTAAGGAGCCCTTCATATATTTATGACAACTTAACAGTTACAAGTGAGTTTTAAGGGCACGTTTGGACTAGAAAGTGCTTGTCATTATAATTGAAAGGGCGGATTATTCTTGTCCTCAAATGTCACAAACTTTACATACCATATTGTCAATAGTTAATGATCATAATGTACGATCCACGTGGAAACCTAATATTGACATGGGAGCTAACCTACTATTGATATGGGAGATACACTAAGCAATCCCCCCATGCTGCTTTTAGGTTCATTTGGTGCAGATAGGAACTACTGGGCTAAGCAATCTCTCTACTGCTTTTTGGTTAATTTAGTGGAGACTCACACCGACAATTTTGAACACTACTCACGAACTCGACACGAAATAAACAAAAAATTAGGAAGTTTGGAGGGTAAACAAATAGATCTATTAGGCCTATTAAATATATGGTTGACGCGAATCCGACTAATAAAAATTGGCCTACTTCATATTAAAAAAATTCTAACACGACACAAGCCATTGAAATCTCTAACACACGTGAATATATATATATATATGTGTGTGTGTGTGTGTGTGTGTTTTTTAAAAAAGAAAAAAGACAATAAAAAATATGCATGCCTCATATTCAGATTTTTCAAACAACTTAAAATATGAATTTAATCGAAACATATGATTTGTGGGTTATTTCTTATGTATAGGATTATGAAGAAAAAAAAATTAATGATCCTCTATCCCGAGGAAAAATTAAAACTTGATCTAGAGGTAAAGTAACGGAGAAAAAGAAAAATAGTTAAAAGTATGTGTATATTAATTCAGACACCATGATAACTTTAAAAAAAAAAAAAAACAAACAAGAAAAAGTTCTCTGGACAGTTGTGAGCCACAGAACTCAACTCAACTCAATGGTGAGAGAAAGGTAAAGGACAAAAGGATGCCTGGGTTAAGCCACGCGTAAGCAATCTATTAGCTAGCTTTTGCGTGTCAGAAAAGCTTCTTCAATGGCAGACCAAATATATATGCTTTTCAGCAGAACAGAACAATATAGTCCAACCCAGCACCTCATCATAAACGCCTCACTCTTCTTCTTCTCCTTCTCCTTCTTCTGAAGTTCTTCTCTTTCCTTTCCTTTTCTTCTCATAATCAAAAGCCGACTCTCCATCTAGATTTCACATTCCCTCATTCAATTGGTTGTCAGATTCGTTAATCAACCCTTCATTTTCTTTTTAGGTGGAAAAAGAAACAGTTTTTTATTTGCAAAAACTGAGGAAGAAATGGCCGTAGACTTCTGGGGTGCAAAAGTTCACTCGACCAAGCACTTTTCTACTGTCCAAGCTGGCCGTCTTAACAGCTCTGGTACTTGAATTTCATTGTATATTTATGGGTTTCTGGGTGTGTTCTCTTTGCTTTTGTTAATGTGAAATGATTGTACTGTGGGACTGATATTTTATCTGGGAAAATTCATGAATTGGGTCTGCAGATTTTGTAGCATTTTTGAGGAAATTATTATCTTTGATATTATGTTTGGCTTGTCTTGTTGATTAATTGATGGTATATAGTATATATATAAATATATAGCTCTCTCTATATGCACACACACACACACACAGAGTGGTCTTCACCTATTTTTCATTTTTCTTACTGATTTCGATATTTCACTAACTCGTGTGTGTGTGTGTGCGTGCGTGTGTGTGTGTGTGTATGTGTGTACCTCTATGCTTGGTGCTCAAATTCAAGTAGGGTCAATTAACTGATCAATCCTTGCACAACAACTGGACTTTTATTTATAATTTTTCCAACTATCTCGTGTTATACCAGTTCCTTAAAAAAGGTTCTGTTTTTTTTTTTCTTTAAAATTTTCACATCTTGTGAGATATATGATTGTAGGTTTTCTTATTCTAAGGCAATTATGCACTTGTGTCAGCCTGTATTAGTTATTCACAGTGATTGGATTCTTGATTCTGCTTCTTTTTTTTTTTAATCAAACAGATGCTCATTTAATCATGGATGATACTGAGGGCGATGACGATGTGAGAGCTTGGTTTCCTTGCCCTTTCTGTTATGTGGAAGTCGAAATTCCTGTGTTTTGCAGCCATCTTCAAGAAGAGCACTGCTATAACTTAAAGAACGCGGTATTCTTGATGATTCAGATATAGTTTTACTTATATCCTGCTATTCATGTTGTTTGGGATCGAACATCATTACTCTTCTTGCTTTGCTGCTGATTAATGAACTGTCCGATGATGGGGCATCTAAGTTTACATCCATATCCTAGCTTTTGTGTATATTGTGGTATATTTATCATTGTTATATACTCAGTTTAGGGCATTTTGTCACTTGTCCTTGTCATTTAGAATACACTTGAAAACATCTTGTTCAAGATGTAATAGAATTTTAAGGTATAGGCATTCAGTTTTGTCTGGTGATATAGATGAAATGATCAACACTTCGATGTTTCTTTCAGGTTTGTCCTATGTGTGCAGCAAATTTGGGTAAAGATGCCATTGGACACTTTCTGTTGCAGCATGCGCCTTCGGTAAAGGTATTGTTTATACACATGTAAAGTGCATAGACTATATATATGCTGCCTATAAGCATTATTCTGTTCTTTGCAGCGGAGGAGAAAGTGTCAAAAATCTGGATACTGGAATAGCAGTGTAGCAATGATTGGCAAAGACCTGAGTGCGTTTCTTGGTTCAAATTCTGTGAGTGGTAGGAGTAATGTGCATGAACCTTCACCCGACCCACTCCTCTCTCCGTTTCTCTGCAATGTATCACTTTCAGACCCTAAGGATAACCAACAAGATGAAGCATTCTGTAGTGTTGCCTCAACAACTTCTGATGTAACTAGGTAACTTCTGCCAACCAATTGAATTTTCATTTGTCCTGTGGATGCAATACATTTAGAATTTGAGAGCAAATAAGCCTTACAAAACTAAACTAATTTGAAATATGTAGAATTTCTTGCAAATGTTTAGAAGATGAGAAGAAACTCTTGTATTCACCCACTCATTTTGAAGTACATCGAGCAATTTTTAACTTATATTTATGTTGTTAATTGAGCATGTAATCGCTGATGTTCTCCAAAAGTTGGCACATGGTGTTCAACCTTTTGAAAAACAGATCATGTGTGGGACTGGTGTATGGCATATGTTGATAGTGTGTGGAGTTAATGATGGTGATAAACTCAGAATCAAGAACACCATAATAAGAAAAGACCATACGCATATTAGGAGTTTACAGCACATACTGTTTCAAGGTAGAAATATATGTGGGACTCAAGATGGAAAATGCCTTCCTATTAAGTAGACAATTCGATTAAATATGGCCTGTCAAACTGAAAAAACCATGTAGTCCCCAGCTTGTGGGTAGTATTCTTGTTATGGAACCTCTGCCAATGGCCGTCAAGACATCATTCAGCACATTTGAAGTTCTGATTAGCTATGATTTAACGCAGAAAGAAGAAAAAAGTGAAAAGTGGAACCTCAAATAGTCTGTTGTGGAGTGAGGTATAATATCAGCTGTTGTGCGGGAATGGTAGGGGCAGACCGAAGAATTATGATCAAGTGAGGCTAATCATAAAAGTGCAAGTTTGGTAGAATCAGCAGATAGCCGATTCTGGCAAACCTTCAATATTTGACTTTGGAAATTTGTTGTAACATTATAAAATGACCCAAACAGTTGGATTTCCACAATGTCTTAGTTACTTGCAACGTTTTAAGAAATTCGTTTTCATCTCTTTTCGCCTCTAAGTTATACCAGGGTGATTTAGGACCAGAGAGGTAAGAGAATGAATTAGAGGGAGAGGAAGAAGCAAAAGAATAAAGGGACAAGGAGGAACAGATCAGAGTATATCGGGTCAGAGTATACTGTGTTATCAACCTTTATGTCCTCTAGTGGATTGAAGAACACTGATATATCCTTTGCATGATCTGAAGCATTTGTATACTTGTTCTGTATTACTGGAAGTTGCACCACACATACCGTTGATTTGTTTGTTTGGACATAAAAGAGAATGCTACCCGTATCCAATTATCTATTCATTTGAAAAAGAGCACATGTAGGAAGGAATTAACAGTTGAAACATATAGTTATCAGTGATATGAAATTCTATAATTGCACTTTTGATTATGGTTCCATTGATGAGAACAGAAAGTAGAAGAGAGATTTTTTTTTTTCCTTTCAGTGATGATTCTGAGCAAACTATGAGTAGGCCATGAGTGAGTAGATGCTTCATGGCTTGGCATTCGATTTCGGGATATGATTAACTCTTCCTCTCTTTTTTTTTCCCCTCGCAGCAGTAAGTCATCCATGTCTGACGAAGTTCAAGAAGAAGATTACGAAGAGAGGAGGCAGCGCGCAGCATTCGTTCAGGAGTTAATGATATCAACCATATTCTAAGATTTCCTGCACCACATTTGGGATTCAATAGATCCAACCCAAAGAAGAGGTTACTTCACTTATTCAGTCAACAGACACCAATTTTTATAAGTGGTGCATGATCTTTAGGTTGTCTTCAATATTCTGTTGGACAGTCCCTGATCAAAAGCAGTATATATGTATTGTGTATCACTTTGTATGCAATTTAATATATGGTTACGTATTGCTAGCGTCGAGAGAACTTGAAGAAATGTTGTTTGCTACATTTCCCATGATCTTTCCTAAGTTCAGACTTCTGCATTTGTGTGATGATATAGAACTGCCATCATCTGAAGTCCGCAAGATTTGACCTATAAAAAGAAAAAGGGGAAGGATTTAGGTTATCAAGAGTATCCATATCATTCTTGATTGTATAATTGTTTTAGTCCTTACACTTCTTCAACTTTGGTGTTTCAGCCACCTTGATTTTGGGCACAGCATGCCTGTACGGGAATGGCGTTTTGATTGTTAATTTCCTAGTTCTGGGTGTGATTAGAATATTTTTGTTTCTTCTGTCTTGCAGTGCTTTTACAGTTCAGTTTTGTGTCATGAAGCTGACTGTTTAGTTTGAATTTCGCCACATGCTTACTCTTCTACCAGTAGAGCAAACCTACCTATGTATTCGATGGCGATTCTGGGTTTTTATGATTCAATGGTCACATACCAATTAGGATTGCAGCAGTGTAGCAATAGTAAAATAGGGGGGGGGGGGGGGGGGGCGCTTTGTGAAAGACATGCTCCTGATACTGTCATTTTAGGGTTCAGTCTTCTGCAGAACTTGTACGGTTCAGCAACCTGAGATTTTAAGCACAGTAAGATGCATGACGCTGCTAGCGGTATACTGTCCCTGGTCCCCTAATCAGCAGAATGCAAAAGGTATATTGGTTCATGTTTGTGCTTCAGAAAATTGAAGCCTAAAGCCATTGCCCTTTTCACTGTCTAAATTAGCGGTACTAGACTATATCATGGCCACTACGAAGCAATCGTAGTCACTTTTCAAACATCGAGGACATAACCAAATCTATTTTCTTTTACAATTGGGATGAGCAGAGAGCAGCCTATCATCTATACCTCTACTGCCAAAGCCTTCCTAGGTATTGTAGATTAAGCTAACAAAACCTGTGCGTGAAAGTAAGGGCAACATACAGTTTAGCCGGTGGCTACGAGTGGCCTCCAAGAGGCTCACTCACTCCTCCCTATAGGACTGTTAAAAAGATGAATTGTGAATTGATCACACTATCAAACCAGTTTCTATAATGAGTGTGCAATGCAATAACTGATATTTGTGAGCTACATCTGCTAAATAGAAGGTTAAGGGAGATGCTTGTGCGTTGTGGATCTTGGACCCAACAAGGTGAAAACTAAAACTGTATAACAATCAATTTAAAGTATAGTTCAAATAGTACAACCAATTTTCTCAACAAACAACTAAAAGGTCATAAAAAATCTGCTGCAGTGAAAATATGAACAGAACAGATTACAGAAAATGTGGTTGTGTTTACACCGAATAAGCCAATCTAAAAGTTGCGACAGTTGACTTTGCATCTTAGAAGCACAACTGCGTACATAAGACACCAGGCTATAAAGAAGAATCAAATTTTCAGAGGATAAAGTTTAAAAGCCCATAAATAACAGTGGCTGACAGTCTTCCTTCCTATGATAAAGAACCTCTCCTGTGCTATACACACTAGCATTGTAAGTTCAACAATTATTTTGACACGACTAGAATTCACGGTGTCCATCATTGTAATGGGTAAAAACACACTAAATGTCGCCAATGACGTATGTCAGATACAGATGTTTTACTAAAGAAGAAGGCTATAAAGGCATTGGGATGCAAATGTCATCCCACATGCTCAAATCAGTCAAATGTAAGTTTAGAGAAGGATTAAGAGAAAGTACGCTAAACAATTTAGAAAGCACTAATGCTACCAAAGTATTAGTCCAAGATACTCCCAAAGCCTTGTTCTAACATTTTTGGGGTTGGCCAAGGTATTAGTACAAGATAAGTCCTTCAGATTCTAGAAGTAGCAAGATCATCAGTTCATCACCATTTTATCCATATCCAGACATATATAATGATCCCGGCTCTTTATATCCACCCTAAGGTACCAGATACTCAAGTTTCTAATAACCAGGTTGGAAGACAAATCTCACTGCCATATAAGCGAAGGATGGGACTTAAAGCATCTAGATCGCTTAATGAAAACAAATTCTTTCAATCATCTTACACATCCCTTGTCTGCATCCAATCCACAACCAGGATATGGAGAGACCAACATAAATGACACCAGCAACATTATTTTACATCAATGGAAACGAATAAATGACTTGGAGACTTCCAAAACCACAATTGCTTGCGGTGAGATACCAAGGCTGTGAGGAAACCAGGATTTTCTAGTCTACTCATGGCCATGGCCATTGTTTTCTTATTTAAGCCACTCAATTCACTTCCCTGACATCAACAACACCACCTATAACTTATGTACATACTAGTTTAGAATTCGAATTATAATAATAGCAATGAGCTGCAAACTGATTTTGCACGAGGATAATCATGTACTGATGTCAATGTTCACGTACACAATTCAACAAGTTCAGCAACTAGACAATATATCGACATAGTCACTATGGAACTTAAATATCCACATAAATCCTAAACTTTAAAAAAAAATAAAAAAATCAACAAATCACCATGTCAGGGCAAAAAACATCCACATTGGGACAAACTGCAATTGAGACACTCATATGTCTTTACAGCATCAATTTTCATACTAAAACTCATTGTGTATGAAAAGCTATTTAACCACATTTCAAACTTTGCGAGCAAGTTTGGCACACACCCAAAAATCCACCATTTCAAAAAAATGAGGGAGAATTAGAACAAAATGAAGTCACTAAGGGCATATGCACTCAAATGCTCAATAACGTCAATGACCAAATGGTAATGAACAACGAATTTTTAGGGTGAAAAAACAAATTTTAGGCCAGTACCACTTTGCTTTAAATAATTGTTTCAATCAAAGGTAAGCATAAACACGATGACAGTTAAGATAACATCAATCCGTTTAAGCAAAATATTAGCATTTCCTCAAGCAAGCAAAAGCTAAAAAAATAACGCCATAAGTAGCTCAACAACTGAAGCAAAAGATAAAAGGTATGTTGCATTGGCTCATCACACTTATGTTCTGCAACTAAACTAAAACAATAGGAGACAGGAAAAGCAACCCAAAAAACACGAGCATATTGGACATTGGATTCAGGCTGTTGCAGTAAAAGGCATAATTAATTTTGTAAAACCAACGATATAGACCCTAACCCATCCATATGAAGAAACAGTAGCTTGGTCGTCACTCAATGATGGACTGAATAACACCGGCTCCAACTGTCTTCCCACCTTCTCTAATGGCAAACCTCATCCCCTGCTCACAAGCCACTGGCATTATAAGCTCAACCACCATCTTCACTCGATCACCTGGCATAACCATCTTAGACTCCTCATCCTTATCATTCATGATAGAAGTCACCTTCCCAGTCACATCAGTAGTCCTCATGTAAAACTGAGGCCTATACCCTGCAAAAAATGGCGAGTGTCTCCCACCCTCTTCCTTCTTCAACACATACACAATTGCTGAAAACTTTGTATGTGGGGTGATCGTCCCAGGCTTTGCCAACACCATCCCTCTCTGAATATCCACCTTCTGAACACCTCTCAACAACAATCCAACATTATCCCCAGCCATCGCATCATCAAGAATTTTCTGAAACATTTCGACCCCAGTCACAGTCGTATTCCTAGTGTCCTTCAACCCAACAATATCAACCATCTCCCCAACCTTAATTGTCCCCCTCTCAACCCTCCCCGTGGCTACTGTCCCACGACCTGTAATTGAAAACACATCTTCTATAGCTAGCAAAAATGGCAAATCTGTCTGTCTTTGCGGTATGGGAATATAGCTATCAACATTATCCATAAGCTCATAAATTTTATCTACCCATTGGTTATCGCCACGCTTAATACCAGGATTCTCCATTAAAGCCTCTAAAGCTAAAAGTGCTGAGCCAGAAATAATGGGAATATCATCACCAGGAAATTCATATGAAGAAAGAAGTTCCCTCACCTCCAAGTCGACCAATTGTAGCAACTCCTCATCATCAACTTGATCTTGTTTGTTCAAAAAAACGACCATATTGGGAACACCCACTTGTTTGGCTAGCAGAATGTGCTCTTTGGTCTGTGGCATCGGACCATCAGCCCCAGAAACAACAAGAATAGCCCCATCCATTTGAGCAGCTCCAGTAATCATGTTCTTGACATAGTCGGCATGTCCCGGGCAGTCCACGTGGGCGTAGTGGCGGTTCTCGGTCTCGTACTCGACGGTGGCAGTGTTGATGGTAATGCCACGGGCCCTTTCTTCTGGGGCGGCGTCGATTTCGTCGTATTTCTTGGGGGCTGAGCCGCCCAAGGAAGCTAAGGCCATAGTAAGAGCTGCAGTGAGAGTGGTCTTGCCGTGGTCAACATGTCCGATTGTGCCGATGTTGACATGAGGTTTCTTGCGCTCGAATTTGCCGCGGGCGGCGCGGACTGTGAAGGCACGACGATGGTGGGTAGTAGTGGTGGTTGTGGAGGGGTTGTGTAAGAAAATGTTACAAGGGTTGTTGATAAAGGAGGAAGAGAGTATTAGTTTGGTGGGTTTTACACGGAGAGTGGGGTCTGAGATTGGGAGTGAGGGATTGGTGGATGGCGAAGAACATGGATATATGAGCTTTGAGGAAGCTGTGGCTGTTGCTGCTGAAATTGCCATGGAGGGTTTGGTTCAAGGAAAAATTAAACAGAAGGGTCAATTCTAGAGAGCGAGAGAGAGAGAGGGGGGGGGAAGGAAGATGAGAGGGTTGGGAAGTTGGGAGTGAGAGGGGAAAAAAGATTGGTGGTGGAGGGTATAGCAGAGTGTTTGTTATCTCTGGCAAGGCGAAAGAGGGCCTCATATGAGAAATGGGATTCTATCCATTTCTTGTAACTCAATAGATGACTAATGATGACGTGTGACAGTGGCCCACTTTAAGCCCCATTAACCATATGGGAACGCTTGGTCAATAATAGTAAGTGCAACACAACAATTTCGAAGTAAAATTACTCTGATTTTTTTGGCTAATTATCCTTTTTATCCTTGATCATCATACTCCAGATTTGATCCTAAGTGGAACCACCTTAGGTGAAGGCTCAATACTCAACTTACACACGAAATGGAAATGCCATTGATGCCCCTTCAATGCATAACGCCGCCACCAGCCCAAAAATCAACCATCTCGGCCCAGTAATGGCATTTCGATATTTGCAGGGCTTTGTGAAGAGGGCTTAGAGTACATGGCCACAGAAAGCTTCACGTAATAAGCCGTGAAGAAAGTGATCTGATCATGCAAGGAACAAATAGATCCTTCTTCCTCCAGCAACCCTACCTACTAGGCAAATTGTGCAAAACGAAGGCCATTGCAGTCAAAAGATGTCCTGAATTCTCTCACATAGCTGCAAACTTGGCCAAAAATTTCCAGCATCAACTTTTCTAGCCAAGAAAAGCCCAGACAAAACAAAACAAAACAAAATAAAATGAGAAAGAGAGAGAGAAAGAAACACAAAAAGAAGTAGCAACAACAAAAATGCAATTACTCTTCGCAATACAAGAGTGCAACAAAATAAAACAGATTTCATCCTCTCCACAAACCAATTACAATGAGGATCAGGTTCATGCCACAAAGAACCCAAGAAATAGAACAAAGTAAAAATACAAGGAGAGAGAGAGAGACAAAAAAAATAAAGGATCAATAAATCTTTGCAGTACAAGAATGCAACAAACAAAAAACAGATTTCACCTTCATTATAGACCAATTACGATGAGAATCAAAACCATAACAAGCATGTTACAACAGAATATATGGTCCCAAGAATCCTTGTCCTCCCCCAGGCACATAAATAATCTAAAGAATCCAGACACACTTGAAAAGTTCATCTCAGCAAACAATTCCTCAAACAATCAGCCCTTGTGCTGTTATACACATTTACCATATGTAATATTATACTTTTCATAAAAAACAGATGACCTATGTTGAACTCTATAAATACATCAGAAAGGTAATTACACAATATGGTCCCTATAAACCGAGGGTTCCGGAAGTAGAAACGATTACATGCGTCATTATTTGCACCAAGTGACTGCCCTCAGCTTCAGACTCCCGACTTTGCAGTTGTATGTATGCAAGGTAAATTATGTTTCAGGTAGTAGCAAAATTTATGTTGCATGGATTCATGACAGTGTCTCACCTCAGCAGCACCATGCAACTTCTACTTTATGACAAAGAAAAGTTGTTCCGAGTCTCCAAGGGTTGTTCTTGAATGTAAATTCAACTAGCATTAAGAAATTCTTAAATAGGCAGGTCCAAAGATATGCTTGTCAGCTATTGACTCCCGCTTCCTACCTTCCCCAGCAACGTGGAATCTTCCAGTCTTCTGTAATATCTTCAAACCTTTTAGCATAATCACAAAAATTGGTACAATCAAAGAACTATCCACACTATATGCACAGGCAAGTTGCAAATGTTTAGACAGCGACACTTGCATCTGCAAGGAGGAGCCTGGATCCATAGAATTCCAAGTTCAAGAGCTTGTCTAACAGTGCAAATTACTGACCGAAATCTTCAGATTACAAACGCTAAAAACTCTGCGACGAGTCTCTGGAGGAAGTCCCTTTAGAAGATCTGATATGGCCAACTCATGCTTCTTTCTGAGATCATGTATCTCCCTTCGCTGCTCTACCAACAGATGCTCAAGTTTCTCTGCAATGCTTCTGATATCATCTGCATCAATGTCCCTTGAATTTTCTTTATTCCCTTCCAATGGATTAACTCCATCGCCAGAATGCAGATCAGCCAAACAATCAACTTCACCAAATTTTGAAACAGTGGGCATGGTAGCTTGTTCCTCTTCCTCAATGCCCTCATTCACATTCTGATAATTCAACTGTCTAAGAGAAGCAGCAGCATCTGAATTGCTCCAATCTTCAGGGCTACTCGGTGATTGTTCATTTTCTTCAGTCCAGCTATCTCGAGGGGTTCCTGAATCTGCCTGCAACAAGTTTGAAGGCCCTGGTCGAAGGGGAGAGCTTCCACCAACTGATTTGGGCGAGTCACACCAATATATACGACCTGAAGGTAATCGTTCTGGAACAAGACCAGCTGAATGAGCGGACTCATTTGCCAAGGGAGAAACATCATCCTGAGCTTCACAGGTGCAGCTATCAGAATCTGCAACTTCATTACCAAAATGACCTCCAGAAGGTTCTACGGGTGCCCAATCAGGAATATAGCTCCGAATTTCTGCATCAATCATCGCAGCAATGACTGACACATCTTGATCTGTCAGATCCAGCTCTTCAACCATTTCACTAGCAACAGCAGTTGCAGTATCAACCTCAATATTAAATGGGAAGTGGATATTCCGAACATGACCTGGGCACATAAGGGAACATTTCTATGTTTATAAGATCTATGAAGAGCTGATCATTTTCTTGGAATTTGAATTGGATATACTAAGAGGAAAAAGAGAACCAGACAACCTGTGAGATCTGCTATCCGTAGTTTTAGAAATATTGTGTTGAGATCTTTCCTTTGACTCTGCACCGTGAAGTCTCGACTTCCCTCAGGCACGGAGTCACAGGGAGTTGCAACATTGCCAAACTGGTCATCTTTACCATCTGCAAATTTGATGTGTTAGCAAACCAGGGAAAGAACACCAAATGCCATGGAATCTGTGCTTGGCAAGTTTTACCTGAATCATGGGGATTGGGTTGCAAAGACCGACCAATACTTCCATTATCCTCGTCTGACTGAAGAAAACGATCAGTTAGTAGTTCCTTGGCAGACAACCGATCTGAGACTTTTGCAATACATTTTTCAATAAATGCTCTGACTCCAGGATCCTTCACTTTTGCCAATGACGCTGGCTTGATTCCCTTCAAAGAAATACCAAATAAGGTAAATATCTTAGCCATATAGTGCTGAAAAATTAAGTCCTGGATATATAATCAATAACACTAAACTCTACAAAAACCTACATTCCAACAATTTGAGTTCTGGAACATGAATCTTACCATGTAATAAGAACTAGCAAAGGAAATAACTGAAGCACCACCAGTACAGTGAAGGACAGACCTGGTTTTAAGTCATTCTAAATTCTATCACCAAGCAATTTGTGCCCACTAAGCGATCAAATTTAAATAATGTTTCAAATAAAGCAGCAAAAACTAATGATGGAGAAGATGCCTTAAAGTCATATTGCCAACTTGACCGAGACAGTTAGATTTAATATATTGCTGATCAACTTTTCAACAAGTACAATCCATGATAGAACACCAAATAAGCAGGGGACTCACACCATGTGCACATATGGTACAGAAGGCCAACCTCCTATATTAACAACTTATTGCCCATGAAATAACAAAGTAATCAATAGATAAAGGAAAGATTCTACAAGCCAAAAGCGTGAAGCATACCACAAGAGTACATTCAATTGATGGGAGGAAGCTACCCCTTTTCCTAAGAGAATGAGAGAATCTAGATTTGTCTCTCCATATAATCACGGAAGACCAAGCCTAATTCCATGCCTCATCAATGCATGACTGCGTAGCTCACCCCGGCCCCAACATTTCAGATATATTTCATCGGCTATACCATATAAACAAGAAAAAACTGGAAATTCATGCATACACAAATATACTTTTAGGCGATGAAGTCATATACACACTTTGTTTGGATAAAAGATAACAGACAGAGACCTATAACTCCAACCAGTCATCAATCAAATCCCAACTGGGATTGGCCAAACTCCATTTCACTAGCAGATCAAATTAATTCAGCTTAAACCAAAACCCAATAAGCTAAGTTGCTACAATGCGAAACTCATAAACCAGGGGCAATTAAACAATGGGTTTTAGATAAATAACATTCTCCCAAGGAAAGGAACCACTGAAAATTAACCTAGCAAGAGGCAGCTTAAGGATGACTGCAACCATGAAAAGGGGAACCCCAAGTCAATCGCATTCATGTTGTCCAACCTATGCATAGATATCTATGGTCTCAAATCTTAATTGCTTCTACACACCGATATTGGGGGAAGTATTAAGGGATATTGCCAAGAATGTGTCAATAATTTCTAATGGTCTTTATCAGCAATGTGAAAAGTTAAATGTTTTCTTCGGTTACTAAAACTATCAAATACGAAATGGTTTTCTCACTACAACCCCAGGCAGGATGTCAGTAACACACTGACTACCAAGTTTATGAAATCTTACGAAAGGAGAGATCTAGAAGGTGACACATTTGTATTTAGGTCACATGTGATGGTTTTGATATGAACAATCATACAATGGAACAAGTCATTCTTGTGCTTCCGAAAAAGAACTAGTATCCAACAACAAATCTTAACTCAAGGGACTTTGGTGTGGCACGCTATCAATTACAGCCAGGGAGGGTGGGGGCGGTTAACACTTATCAGCAGGTTGATTGTTCATATATGGTGGAGCAGGCAGACAATATCAAATGTATATGGAAAATTGTTACTCAGAAAGTCATGAATGCCTTACTGATGTCACTTTCTTATATATTTGAGCAGCATTGGTGCATTCAACATATGGGTATTCAAAGGTCACCAACTCCAGCAAGCACATACCAAAGGCATAAATATCTACAAGCTCATTGTATTCCTCCTCATAAAGCTCTGGTGCCATGAACTCCGGAGTGCCTGATCTCAGATAAAATCAAATAACAACAACATTGTCAACGCCACCATAAATTGAAAAAAAAAGACAGCAAATCAAGTTCTCACCTATAACACTGTGGGCTGAACGAGCCCGGAGAAGAATGGCAGCGAGCCCCAAGTCACCAATTTTCACCTCACCTTGGTTGCCATTAACAAAAATATTATCACATTTTAGATCTCGATGAATTACTGGAGGGTCATGACAATGTAGATAGGCAAGTCCCTCTAAGATCTGCCTAGACCATTTCTTCAGAGCTCTCAAGTCAACACGCTTATGTTTCTTACGATACCTATGGAACACACAAAAAACAAATTCAGTCAAACACCAAAATACAGTGAAAAAAATAGTACATGTTAATACATACTGTCGCAGAGTCCCAGAAGTGAATATCTCAGTAATGAAGTTGATATTCTCTTTGTTTGGGTCAACCCATGAGCTGTAAAATTTGATAATGTTCTTGTGTTTAAGAGTTTTCAGCAAATGCACTTCAGAATATAGCCTCTCCAAGTCTTCAGAGTTCCTTAGCAGATCCACAACCTTAACTTGATTCCAAGCTACTTCAATGCCTTCCAATTCGTCGAATGCCCTATATCTATATCCCCCCAACTGGGTCAAGGATGCAAAGTTAATTCTACACACAATTGCATGTGAATTACAATGCTTCACCAAGAAAAGAAAAAGAAAAAATACCAACGAAGTTTAAAATCTCGAAAGGATACACTTTTTTAAAAGCCCCCTTTCCTAGAACTTCTTTGTACTGCATGTTGCATCACAATAAACCCAATATTCAGAACAAAACCAATAGAAATCAATGCAAATAGTAATCTATCTAAACAGTAACGATGATACAACACTAAATGGTTTCAGACATAAAACAAAGTAAGTAAATATCTTCAAGCATCAATAAAGGAGGAAATAGAGTTTTTAATACAATGTTTCTAAATAAGCATTTCTATACACTGACCCGCCCATATCGACCAGAGGGATCGACCTCAACGAAATCAGCATCAAAATCGTCCGGGTCTTGTTCGGACGAAGAAGACTCTTGAGGCATTCTCCGATTCAAAAAGAATTCATAAGAACCCTAGTTCTGGACGTAAGCGAATTATCAGATCAAATTCCGATTCAAATTATCTTTAATTTATGTCTGATGACCGAATTCTGACCTAAAACAGCACAGAACCGCAACGTCACAGTAGATTAACAGAGGAAAATCAAAATAATACAAGATGAATGATGTATATTTGTGCAAATATAAATCAACGGATTAAACTTCATATGTCAACGGATTCAATTTCAAGAGAAAGAGAGAAGAAACGTGTGAGCGAAGGATGGTGTGCCCGGAAGACGTAAATGTCAAAGCGAATTAGCTACATGACAGTGACTGACTGACTCCATCTCTCTCGCTCTCTCTCTCACAAAAATCCTGGTTTTGTTGCATCGAAAGGTCTAATTTGGGTGCATATTAAAGGTCAACTATGGGGAAATTGGGGTATTTATAATGTTTGAAATTATAACGACATTTGACTCAATTTTTTATTTAAATCTAAGTTAATATTTAATTAAAAAACCTAATTTGATACATATATTTTTCAATCTCATCATACCCAAATCTTTTAACTTGTCAACCGCGTCCCATTACAATGCTCCCGAGCTATTCAACCCTCTGAGTCCCTCAAAAGTCTGCCATCCATAGGGACGGAACCGTTGGAAAGAATATTCATAATAAATATCATGTTAATATTATTATATAGTATAATTAATTAATAACTATGTAATTAAATAACTATCTATTCTTCTTCCATATAAATCAATAATAACTGATATTCACTTTATTTATTTAAAATTTTATTTTTAGTTGATAATATCAAGTTATTAATGCTTACATAGTATCATTGTATTGAATATTCTCCCCTCTTAGCCCCTTGGCCTCGCTGATTTTTGAATTTTTTTTACGGATTTGCTGACTTTCGAATTGGATTTTTATATATGGTGCGAAAATGACACAATTTAATCTGACATAATTCTGTATTTAAAAAAAAATTCTAACATAATACATTGCCCTCATTTAATTTTTTTAGAATTCATAAATGACCCTATTTTTTTTCTCTTTTAGGGTCCGTTTGTTGAACAAGATAATGCTAGAAAATACAAGAAAGAGAAATTTTTAATATTTTATATGTTTTTGTTTAACATGAAATAGAAAATAATATAAAAAATAGTTCAATTTTTTGCCAAAGACTCAAATTTGTATACTGAAAATAGATAGTAATACTGATAGTTTTCATTGGCATTCAATGGCAAGCAGGAATTGTCCAAATAGAAGTTTCTATTCTTGAAGTGACACATCTTCCCCCTCTGCCTTTATTTTTTTTGAACTGTCCCCTCATGTACATGCTGAAGTCTGTCTATTTCAAGAGAATTTACAGTTAAGACTCCCAAATAAATATCATGTAGTGTTGTTTGAATTCATAGGCCATGTCATACAATAAAAGAACTCTAACAAACCTAAATCTAATAATCACGAGAGTGAGACACTTGAATCAATAAGAGAAGTAAGGTTCCTCAATTTCCTGTCAATCAACCAAAAATCTTCCAAATTCATAGGTTTGTCGACAAATTTCAGCGACCCCTTAACATTCAATCGAGTGGTTGTACAAAAGTTTCAACCATTTTATTAGATGAAAGCTCAATTCAAAAAAGTCTGGTCCCAACTCTTCACAATTTCAATTTCGTCATGGTGTTTTATCAAGGGCAAAATATATTTTTGTTCAACCCCAGGCTATCATACATTTTCTAGTATCTCATTTAAAGTTAATTTCAACCTTCCTCTATCTCTCGAATTATTATCATCGGTTATCATAATTTCTGATGTAGTAAGAGCATCTCTAACCTATCTATTTTAGAGAGCATTTTTACTAAAAATGATAAGAGAGTAAATTTTTACACACCACTTCAATAGGACTCTCTATTCTTATCATTTTTTGTTGTCTTTTTTGGCAATAAATTTGGCTTCTCTCATTTTTTCTCCATTATTTTAAATGAGATACGTTTATCCTAAATATTTTGGATGAATAGACAAATATATCTTTTTTGTGTTCCAAAAAAATAGGTTAGAGAGTGAATTTGACTCTCCACATGTAGAGAGTCAAAATAAAGAGTCCATCAGAGAAGAAATTTTAAAGGTCGACTCTCTATACTAGAGAAGTGAGTGAGAATAGAGAATTTATTGGAGATGTTCTAATAGGGCTTCTATAAAAATCGCTTGGCACTATTGCACACTCTTTCATACACCACCTATATCCCATGCTCACCAAAACTTACGCATTAAGTGAGATTATTAAGACTTGTACTTTTGCCTGCCATTGTTTAATTTCTACAGCCTTGAACTTTATTTGGATATATTGCAGCTGTCTTGTTAGAAGTGTCATTTAACAAATACCGGGCAAAGGGTACGTAGCTAGTGCAACAAAACTCTCTTCTATCTATTCGATAATCCAAGCCATACATACCTCTTCTATCCTCTACTGTTCAAGATTATGTAGTAATCACTTTTTGAACAAATTATAAACCTGGGGCCTTCCTTTAGGTAGGAATATTGATTTTAAGCGGGATCCGTTTTTGGCCAATAGCTACATAAACACATTGTATTTTGACCCACATATTAGGAAATCATTAGAATTGCTTTACTCTTAGGGTTTTGCGATTGTTACTTTTTCTTTCTAATAAAAAGGAGGGCAAAATCAAACAGAAAAAAACACAGCTAACACCCTAACATCACTTCATATTGAAGGAACATTCCACATAAAGGTACAATCATGCTCTTCCAACCGAACCCCACCCCACACCCCCCGCAAAAAAAAAAAAAAATTTGTTTAAAAGCAATTTCCTTTCCTTTATATCTACGGATTAGGTCTCCATAAACTCCGAACCTAAACGCAAAACAATGAGAAAAGAAATTCTAAAACCAAAAAAGGGACAAATATCTCAAGTGCTTATTGATAAATCAAATCAGTGTTCCATATACATTGTCTTCTACATGAATCAAACACAAAAAAAAAAACAGAGAGAGATTTCTAGCATCAATCACATGCATTTTTAAGACAATGAGAGATAAAGAAATCTACGAGGAGAGAAAGAGATCTGCGTACCTATATATCAAATACTGATGAACTAGCCTGACAATCTTCTCCTATTCGGGATGTGTCTATCTGTGCAGAGAGAGAGAGAGGGGGGGGGGTTGTGGCGGAGAGAGTCGAGCAGATCGTCGGGTATGTAAAAGAGAGGCGTAGTTGAATCCGACAAGGCCTTGGTTTATTACTGTTGGTTTTAATGACTAAACAGACCACTTGGTGTTGAAAGAACCACAAAATTGCCATTAAAACACTCGTGTACGGGTGGTGGAATTAAGTCTCGTGGCTCAATCTAGTCCACAGGTTCACCTTACTTTGTAGTAAGAGTAAACGTGGCTCAAATCGTGCTAATTTCCCCATAATTTAATTTTTGAGTAAAAGTGATAATAGGGTATAAATATTGAATGTAACATGTTGAATCCTAGTTGGAGTTTATTTACTTATTTATTTTAATATTATTGATAAATAGATATTACATCACATTATCACGTAACATCACCGAATAATCAAAATCATATATAGTTGACTTTTGGTCGATATGTAAAAAATAAAAAAATATAATGGTTATTATTGGATAACAAAATATCTAATTTCACTGTCTAAATTTTAGTGTCAAACTCTCATTCTCTAAATTTGAAAAGACTTAAAAAACACCAACAAAACAATCACGGCTCCTTCTCACTATCGTCTTGGGTTGCCTTATTCGAACTCTTAGTTTTAGTTTTAAGTGCAACAAATAACGACATTGTTCAAAGGCGAGGCTCCCACGACAATGAGGTTGACGGATATGTACGAACATCATGAGTTTATTTTATAATCACGAGTCTAAAAATTACGTAATTATGACAATTATAGCTAGAAAAAGTTATCCATTCCCTCTGTGAGCAGCCATTTTTTTTTTTTATGGTATTTAGACCTATAACAAGTGGGGGTTTCCATTCCCCATATTGGTTGTTAGTTTTTTAGCCAATAAGGACCGGATAAAAAGTTATAGAAAATTGTATCTCTTATTTCATTCATTTTTAAAATTAGGAATGGTAGAATGTGCACCTTACTACAAGATCATCCCTTACTCCATTTCTTCTTAAGATCAGGAATGACGGGATAGTTGATAACAGGCTTGCTAAATACTAATTTTTTAAAGGAAGAGACTCTTATGTGTTCGTGCTCTAATAAAGTGAAGCACTTCACTCATCGGAAAAGCACAAAAGACGTTTTTTCTTGAGTTAAGTCCAAGAGAGTTCTTTCTCCTAATACGAACAGACGGCTTCAGGCCGTTTGACAATGCAAGTAAAAATACCGATTTAATGTAATAAATTGAGATTGCAACATATAAGTTGAAACATCAAGTTTAACATTTTTCATATATAAAGCCATCCATTTGTGTTTCTCGGGGGACATATTTTTATCCTGTTTGGTATACGATGGCTAATATCCAAATTCGAAGAAATAGTCGATATAAACTTAGACATTCTATAGCCACAAAAAAAAAAAACTAAGATTGCAACGCAAGAACGGTAAGCTCTTTGAGAAAGTAGTAGTATTGCTTGCCGCTACCCCAATAGTTGAGATACTTAATAGAAGAATGCACTAGTGGTTAAAGTTGTGGCAAACAACAATGCACTAGAAGACAGGCTGATTTGGATTTGCTCTAATTTGTTGAATGAAAATGAGTGTTTGCAAAGGACAACTGATGCACTAATGGCAATATTGATCACAGTAAGTTAGAACCTGGGAGCCCAGAGATTTGACAAATTTGTTTGTGTCCAACTTGATGCCTATTTTGCTGATAATAAATTATTGAGAATAGTGGGCAACTCATTTTCATTAGACCCAAAAGTAAATGGGCCAATGGCGGAGAGAAGTAGAGTGTAACAAACTAAGCAAATCTTAATTAAATTAGCACTAAGGTTATTAATGAGTGCCTATAAATATGTTGTAATTCTCAGAATTCTGATACGTCGTGGTGGCTTTGTTGCTCCATTTTTCAGACTCAATTTTCCTCCTTTCCACATATGCTTGATTTGCTTGATTTGTTGGAATTGGGGCGTATAATCTTCTATTATGTCTTAGATTAAATTGTTTTGATTTGGTGATTTGAATAGTTTTATTGTGATAGGTTAAATAATTCTTATACCTAGGTTTAGTTTAATAGAATAGTGATAGTTTAAATTAGTTTCTATTGTTTGTTAAAATTCACTAATGAATACTAAGTTTGTGACTGAACAAATTAATTTTTAAAAAATTAATTGGGCATTCGAATGAGAGATCAATGGGTGAACAATTGATTGGTTACATATGTCGAGAAAGTAATTTTAAATACCACTGATAATGAAATTATCATACGACACTTGCAAAGTTTGAAAACTCGTTAGGAATGACTATTAATATTTATAGGATATTCGACAATTTAGATTCTCTTATTATAGACTCAATATATGATTGAGCAAAATTTTTTGGTTCAAATTTTTTTTGTCAAGTTTTATTGATAAATTTATAGTGAGTTTTTTTTTTGTTGGCTCTTTTCTACATCGCTCATGTATATGAGTTGTACTTTTAATTGACGTTCTATTAATAAAAAAATATTTTTGTGAATATTTAAAATTTTGACTATTTTTGCCTCCACAAGAGAAGATTTCTGGCTCCGCCCAGATCTCCTTCCTTTCTTAAGGAAAACAAAGACAACGCAAAATGGTGCAGTTAAAAAAAATTGCAAGCATTCAAACAGTAATGGTAGTGATGAGACTTTTCTGAAATACTCCATGATGAAGACACGTGTCCTCGGTATTACCAAAATACTGTTGCTAAGATCAAGCACCATCGGCTCACAAAGGTCCCTCGCTCCCGAGGTACTCGTCATATGGGATCATGGCATTCAGTACGTTTTACAACCGACACGTAGCCTCGGTCTGATATGGTACCTCGGTCGGTATACCTCCCTCGGTTCCGAGATGAGCCTTTCCTCGGTGCCGAGAGGTACCCTGTCCTGGACGCCTCCTCTGCTCCAGGATAAGCTATTGACGTACAGGTCATTAGCCTAGGCTATTCATCATGACCTCGTCTTACACAATTAGTGTCAGAACGTACAGGAATGCAGGGGCCACAGCCAATGGGGGATGGACGCGTGGCATATGATGTCACATCATAGACAGAAAAACCGCATGTCATTGCTGACACGCGATTTGGGAAAACAAACGATTAATTACACCATTCCCTTGACGAGACTGCATTCAATGCGGTAAGGCTCGGAAATGAAAGACAATAAATGTTCCTAATACAAAGCATTTATTGCATCCTCCCCGAGAGGAGTTCATTGTACCGTCGGCATCCCGATGACGCAGCATTGATTGCTCGGGACCCCGAGCAGTTAAGAAGAGAAGACATTCCTCATCAGAATCAGTGCGCACACTGCCTGTACTTAATGATCACCTACTGACTACACTGACAGCAATCATGAGCTTTTGAGGTATAAATACTCCTTGCAAAAGGGAAGACGGTATGCAACAAAAAACTCTTGACTACAATACACACTCAGTGTTTTCTTCTTCCTCTCTCTCTCTCAAAGACTGACTAGATCGTCGGAGGGGATACGCCGAAAAACACTCCGGCGCCCTTCTAACTTGTTCTTCTTTGTTCCAGGAATCTCTCTTCGGCCTTACTGGATCATTCTTCCGCTCCCCCAGGGTCTCCCGTTGCCGTTCCAGGTTACCACCGGACCTCGCAGGCTGTTCCAAGCGGCGTGGTTGGTCACTCAACTGACTCACTCGAGTTCACCAAGGGAGAGATCTGTTCTCGTTTTTATATTGTGCAGGATCGTGCACGCACAATCTGGCGCCGTCTGTGGGAAACGACTAGTTTTCCTAGTTTTTTCTCTATAAAGAACAGTGACCATGGTGAACACTCGACGGAAAGGGAAAGACCCCCACCAAAGGAGTCTCGAATTACAAGCTCCCTGTCATCACGGAGGGAGGGATCACACCGATATGAATAAAAGTACCTCTACTAGGTCAAGAGGGGTTACCCTCAAACCAGTATGGGAATCAGGTCAGGGGGATCAGCCCCCTTGGCTCGTCAGCTGGCGGAGGTGATTGAAGAAAAGTTTGACGATAGATTACGACAGCTGGAAAAGGACAATGTAAACGTCCTAAGCCGGCTCAACGAGTTTGCCGCCTCCGGCGAAGGGTCGAGAGATTCATTCCTTTCTTGTGGGCTTCCCGCCCGGGAGGCGGAAATGAAGGACCTAAGAAACCACCTAAACAACAAAGCAGAAAGCTGTAGGGCCCCAAAGCGACCCAGAGCCAGCGAGCATCATCATGACGACCATTTAAGGAAGGCAAGGTCATTGGCCCTGGACGACCTCTGGCGAAGTTTGTCTAGACGGAGGAAGGGAGATGTATCCGAGGAGGATTCAACCCAATCCACACGACGCCCAGGAAATGAGGGGCTTACCGATGAACTCAAGGACTTCAGAAGGCATCCCGTCAGGGAGAAAATTGATCTCAGAGCCCGGTTGGAATCCAGGAGAAAGGGTAAGGCTGTCCAGGATGAGGCCGCAGACGAAGTCATACAAACACCCTTTACGAAGGAGATCGGTGAGATGGAGGTTTCAAGAAAGTTTGTCGTGTCACGGTTCAAAACTTATGACGGGCGGTCCGATCCCGAAGCCCATGTCAGGCAATACAAGCAGATGATGTCCCTCTATCATTCAGACCAACGGTTTCTCTGCCGAGTGTTTCCTATGAGCTTGGGGGACTCTGCGATGAAGTGGTTTGAGGCGCTTCCCCCCAACAGTATTGGGTCGTGGAAGGAATTGACGAAGCAGTTCCTGGCTCGATTCATTACGGGGAGTAAGCGCCCCAAAGACGTTGGATCATTGCTGACCCTTAGACGTAGGGAATCCGAGACTCTTCGCCAGTACGCCATCCGATACTGGGAAGAGGTTAATGAGGTAGAAGGCTGCTCGGAAGTCATGGCAGCAGCATCTTTCCGGCTCGGCTTGGCAAGGGACACGGACCTGTACCGATCACTGACCAAGAAGACTCCCTCGGATATGGGGGAACTGATGGCCCGGATAAACAAATACTCGAGGGTTGAGGACG